GTCCTATAAACTCTTTAAATATGAAATGAACTAGAGCTCTATTCTAGGATAGAGACTCATATTGAAAAGAAACAAGTGTAGAATCCAAATTGAATAGATCAAGAAAAATTGAGACAAAGGAAAAAAGGGTCCAGTTAGAACAGGAGGAGAGTAGAGCCAGGAGAGGAGACTGCAGAAAATAAGGGTTTAAACATAGGGACACTCTTATCACATGCCCAGATTCTGCCCCCCTTTTGATTTTTATTATGAGACAAGGTCTTTATAAGGTGCTAGCTGAGGCTGTCTTCACACATGCCATCCTCCCACCTCAACCTCTGGAGCATAGTGTCTTTTTTTTTTTTTTTAAGTCACTTTTGAGTATAGTTTATATACAATAATATCGTTGACTTTCTTTATCCAGGAGTTCTACACCCATGGTTTTTACCAACCACAGATCCAAAATATACACACATTTATTTTAAAGTTTATCTGTATTGAACATGAAAATTTTTAAATCATTATTCCCAATCAATACAGTGCAGTGACTATTTACTTAGCATTTTCATAGTACTAAGTATTATAAAAGACATATACAGGAGGATGTGTGTGATATGCAAATAAAAATGTAACATTTTAATTTTATATGAGGGATTTGAATATCTGCAGATTTTGGTATGGAGGGCATTGGGATTAGTCCTTTGCAGATACTACGGCATGATTGTACATACTTATTTTAAGTGTATATATAGTTGAGTGAACATTGAGAAATGAATATCCCATGCTACCATTGTAATCAAGAATATTTTCATCACCCCAGAAGTTTCTCATATGCCCTATTACAGTCACTGCCACCACCCTCAGGGGTGTATTTATTTATTTAGCATAAAAGAGTAGGATTTATTCAAGTGAGAAGAAAAGAGACAGAACTCTCACAGGGATAGAGGGAACCCAACAGGGGTTGCCCAATGTTTTAATTTCTATTAGGTTAGATTTTAGTTGTCAGTTTTGAATTCTTCTCCCCCCAAAAAGTGAGTTATATTGCTGTGAACTAATAAAAAGCTAGATGAAATCACAGCCTCTAAAGTTTCAGAAGGTTTATTTTATAAAAACAAAAAAGAAAGTATATCAAATTCCATACAAAGTTACAAGAGAAATAGAAAATTTTAGGAACAGGATAAAATCCTTGCTGACAATGAAGCATCCCAGAAAGACAGGCATGAGTCAAGAAAAGGAGAGCCAAGAGGTTGAGGTTGTAGCTCAGTAGTGGAGGTCTTGCCCAGTGAGACACTGAGTTCAATCCTCAGCCCAACATATAAATAAATAAAATAAAGGTATTGTATCCATCTACAATTAAAAAATATTTTAAAAAAAATTAAAAAGAGAGCCAAAGATTTTAACTGTAGCCAAATTAGTCTTATAGTATATGACTGCAGACAAATCTAACTTGTAGGAACTAGGGAGATATTGTTTTTATCAACTCTACCTGAGAAATCTTCTAGGGAACTAGCTTTAGACAACCAAGATAACTAAAGAGAATTTGACGTAAAGAATTATGATAAACATTTATTTATTTATTTATTTTTATATATACATGCTGGGGATTGAATCCAAGAGTGCTTTATCACTGAGCTAATTCCCCAGCCCTTTTTTATATTGTGACAGGGTCTTACTAAGTTGCTGAGGGCAGCCTTGAACTTGTGATCCTCCTGGCTGACCTACTGAGTCTCTAGGACTACAGGCCTGCGCTGCTTCACATTGCTAAAATATTTCTATATTTAGAACTAGGGATAGGGGGTTTGGAGTGCAGCTAAGTAGTAGAGCACTTGCTTAGAATGCTCAAGGGCCTGGGTTTGATCTCAACATTACCACCAGGAAAAGAAAAGAACCACCTATATTTCAAATGTAAGAAATGGGAAAATGTATAAAAAGCTCAAACTTTATATTGACAAACAGCAAGAATGTCTTGCATGTGAAATAAAGCAAAAGGTATATGCTGTTTTAATTTAGACATCCTGAAGTCCTTGAGAACCAGGATTTTCTAATTGAAGAAAAAACATATATTCCTGAATACCTCAAAAAAATTGTTGTGTGTGTGTATGTGAATATATGTATGCAGAAACACTTTAGTGCTGAATTTGAACAGAAAGTGTTAATATGAACTCATATTTTGTTTGAATGTGTGTAGTACTGTTTGTTTAAATTTTATACTTTCATATGCTGAAAAAAACCTATGAACAGTAATAACGGAGACATAATAAGCTTTCCTAATGCCAGATTGTGATCTTGAAATATATTTTGCACTTAAAAAAATCCAGGGTATCTTGGAGATGGGGATTCCAGATTGAAGACAGAAAATGTTCAAGGTGAACCTAGAACATATTGTCATACAAATAACAATAAAATCTACAAATGTTGCTAAGTTCTTGTCAATAGAGTAGGAGTCATCTGGAAGCTCCTGTAGGCCAGTGTTGAAATAATTTGAATATTAATAAGAAAAATATAATTATGGTAGTTTGAATCACATCAAATATTTTTAAAGCCATGGGTTTATAGAAGTACAAAAACTTGTTAGAGAACTGGTTTTTAAAAAACTGCCAAATACTAAAATAGCCAAAGCAATCCTTAAGCAAAGCAGGGGTCGTCACAATACCAGATCTGAAATTACACTACAGGGTTATTGTAACAAAAATGGCATGGTATTGGCACCAAAATAGACATGAAGACCAATGGAACAGAATAGAAGACACAGAGACAAATCCACATAAATCCAGTTCATCTTGGACAAAGGCACACATTGGAGAAAAGATAGCCTCTTCAACAAATGATACTGGGAAAACCGGAAATTTATATGCAGTAGAATGAAATTTAATCCCTATCTCTTGCCCTGCGCACAAGTCAGTTTTAAGTGGATCAAGGACCTAGATATTCGACCAGAGATCCTGAGCCTACTAGAATAGTATACACAATGGAATACTATTCAGCCATAAAGAAGAATGAAGTTATGGCATTTGCCTGTAAATGGATGGAACTGAGATTATCAAGCTAAGTGAAATAAGCCAACTTCAAAAAACCAAAGATATAATGGTGTCTCTGATATGTGGATGATGATGCACAATAAGGGGGATGGGGAAAAATAGATGTTGAAAGGGAAATGAAGGAAAGGGAGGGAGGATGGGAATGGAAAGCTAGAATAAATCAGAACTTTCCTATATTCATATATAAATACATGACTAGTGAGATGCCACATCATGTATAACCTCAAGAATGGGATTCTAATTAGAATAAGTTATGTTCTGTGTATGTATAATATGTCAAAGTACATTCTATTATCATGTAATCTAAAAAGAACAAATTTTTAAAAAGACTCTAAATATTTATTTTAAGCATATGCATTTTATACATTTTGCTATGTTAAACTAATATAAAGAAAAAAGTAATTTATTTCAAAATGCCAAATAAGCATTTAACTCCATATTATATGAGCTATACCAGTGGATCACCAAATATTGAAAAATGTTTCTTTTTAAAATTTCTCAAATTATTCATCAAATAAATAATAAAGGAAATAATAGAATTAAAATATCAACATTTTCCAGCCTCCAGTGAATTAATCCAGTCCTTGAGCATCAGTGTGTATTTGTCATGATGGGGGGAAAAATTACCACTTCCAGTTGGAAAGAGACTTATAACGTAGTTTACCAAAAAATGAACTTAAATCTGATGAAGACTTTAGTGTAAGGGTTGACATTTTCATTTTTTTTGTATAGGGCACAACAGTAAATAGCTTAACTTTTATGCTTAAATGCTCTCTGTCAAAACTATTCAACTCTGCCATTGTAGCATGAAATAACCATAGATGGTACATAATCAAGTTGGTATAGCTAGGTTCCAATAAAACTTTATTTACAAAAACACAGTGGGCCAAGATTTTCTGATCTCTTCTCCAGATCCAACTCCTAATATATGGACATACAGATGATCCATAAAAGTTGTTTCAGCTATGCTTCTGGAATGTAAGTTTCAAAATCAAGTCTAAGAAATTATTGGACACAAGGAAGAGAGTGATGGTGTTGGGATTTATATATTAACACTTATAAAACCCAGGCAAAGCTAAACATAGGCTTAGGGAGATAGGTGACAAGAATGAAGAAAATTAAAGTAAATATAACTCATGGGATGATATGAAGATGTCATTGGTTGGGGCCTGTTAGTGTTTCAGAGGTACTTAACAGTTCTAACTTCTCTGATGGCTGCTTACAAAGGATATGCACCTTATAGTTGGTTTAACTCTTTATTTGTCTATGTAGCTTTCTGCATTTGTGTATATTTGATATTAAAAGTTTTTTAAAGAAGGTGAAAAGAGGGGGGAAAGTCTCCAAGGAAATGCTAACAAAAAAAAAGGGGGGGAAGAAAAACATAGTATGATTCGATTCTAGAGAAGGAGACATATTTCATAAGGTGATTTAGGATTCTTAAATCTGTATGCATCTAATAATATGTCTTCAGAAATACAAAGCAAAAGCCAACTTATAAAAAGGAGAAATTCACAAATTCACAGTAGTAGGAGGAATCTTGAAGAAGCATATGCAAATAGACATAAACTGAGACAGAAAAATATGGCTTTGTATTTTAAGATTTTGTTTTTGAGGCGAGGTCATCTTATTTTTGCCTAGAAATTTACTATTCTTATTAGAAACATGTTGAAATCTTTCATTTTAATTGACAGAATAATCTTTTCTTTGAGCTAAATTTATAGATAGCTACTTTTTTCCAAGTAACCTAAGTAATGAAGTCTGCCTTTTTTTTCCTGATTCTACACTAAAGTTATAACTATGAATATTAAATAATCACTGTGGACTCCTTCTACAATTGGAAACCATAGTACATAATAATTAGAATAGTATAATCTCAATATGTACATGAGTAAAATTCAGTGAATTTCCAAACTCTTTTCTAATTATTATTTGCACATGGTTTAGGTTTTGTTGGTACAAGTTAATCTTTCTTCCTTTTTTAAACAGAGGTTCTGAAGGGACTTTAAATGACTGCAGAGTAATATTTGTAGATGAAATCTTCAAGATCGAGAAGCCCGGAGCGCATCCTATTTCATTTGCAGATGGAAAGTTTTTAAGTATGCATTTTTCTTTTGAACTTAGATTGTGTTATATATTATGGAAATTTGTTTTTACTGACAAGTGGATAACTTGGAGGAAATATAAAACTGTAGACCACACAAATTTACTTTCAGGATGACAAAGAAGAAATAACTTCCAATGGAAAAAAATTTAAGTTTTTCTGAGTATTATCAAATGATTTTTCAAATGCATTTCTCACCAATGGTATACAAGTTTCTTCATAACCCTATCAATACTGAACATTTTAAAATTTTTTGTAAGAGGATTAAAGACCCCACATATCAACTTGTCTCTCTTTGGATTCAATTAAGAATTTACCTAAGGTTTTGCCCAGAGTTTCTCAAGCTTTCTTGGTTCACTGAGCAATCAGTGTCTCAGTAATTTTTTTTCTTTTTTGCATCTATAGGCCAAAAGAAATACTGAACAGTTCCATTTATTAAATTACTTTGTTTAACAAATTATATTTCCCTCTTGTGCCCTGTGAGTTTATTAGTTGGTCTGGTGCATCTGTGGGAAACTGGGTCAGTGTATATATAATTTGAGGGGTGGTTTTATTTTTATTTTTTGTAGTACTGAATATTGAATCCAAGGCCTCACGTATGCTAAACAAGCACTATACCACTGAACTACATCTCCAGCACTTTTTTTTTTTTCATTTCAAAATTGGGTCTCACTAAGTTGCTAAGGCTGGTCTTGAACTTGCAATCCTCCTGACTCAACCTCTCAGATCACTGAGATTACATGTATGTGCCTTTATGCCCTGCTATAAGAAAAATTTTAAGGCAAAAGTATATGATGCGAGGATGTAGTTCAGTAGTAAAGCACTTGGGTCACATTTGCAATGTCCTGGATTTAATCCCCAGCCCAGAAAAAGAATATGCAAAAATAAAAAGTAAATATTATCATCATGTTTGGAGGTGATTGGATTTTTACTGAATTATGTTTGAGCCTCATCCTTAAAATTTTAATGCAGTAAATCAAGGGTGAGATTCAGGCTTTTATTTCTAAACTCTCACATTTGATTATCCCTTTTGGTTCCTTTGATTTAAAAAAGTATATGCTAGCTGGGTGCATTGGCACACACTTGTAATCCCAGCAGCTTGGGAAGCTGAAGCAGAAATATTGCAAGTTCAAGGCCAGCCTCAGCAATTTAACAAGACCCGAAGCAACTTAGCAAGACCTTATCTCAAAATAAATAAATAAGGGCTGGAGACATGCCTCAGTGATTAAGCACCTCTGGATTCAATCCCCAGTACCCCCCCCCCAAAAAAAGTTGTATGCTGTTTCCATGAGTTTTTCTTTGAGATTAATAGATGAACAAATTACTTTAAGGTAAGACTTACTTTAATTTTTTTTTCTTAAGGGAAAAATGACCCTGAATGTGACCTATGTGGTGGAGACCCAGATAAGAAATGCCGTACATGCTCTTGTCATAAATGTGGTGAGAAGCATGAACCCAACATGCAGCTTCTATGTGACGAATGTAATATGGCCTATCATATTTACTGCCTGACTCCTCCTTTGGATAAAGTCCCAGAAGAAGAATACTGGTATGATCATCAGGATTTGGTTTTTGCTTTATAGAGAATCAAATATGAAATATCTATTTGAACTACCAAAAGTATTTTTATAAATATAAATGGTATATAGTAAAGTGCTTAAAATGTTAAGAGACAAATGCTTACTTGGCATTGATAGTATTTATTCAATTACGATAGCAGCTTCTGAACTGGTCTTTAGCTCTATGTTTTGATCTCTCTCATGTTCTATAGTAGTACTTAATAATTATTATATATTTCATATGCTTTACACTAAAAAATGCTATATATGGATGATTTTATCTAATCCTATGAAGTTGGTAAGTAGAACAGGGCTTCATGTGTGCTTGCCAGAATCTAAATGGTTTGACAAATAAAAACAAACAACCAATCAATAAATGGGCTAATGATCAAAACAGACATTTCTCAAAAGAAGAAATACAAATGGCCAAGAAATATCAAAAATTGTTCAACATCCTTAGCAGTCAGGGAAATGTGAATCAAAACTACACTGAGACTTCATCACCATTTAGAATGGCAAGAATACAAATAACAATTGCTGTTGAGGATGTGGGGGGAAAGTACACTTGTACATTGTTGGTGAGACTGAAAGTTAGTATCTCTTTAGAAAGCAATATGAAGATTACACAAAAGACTAGGAAGGGAACCACCATATTTCCTAGATATGCCACTGCTTGGTATTTATCCAAAATAAAATAAAAACAAAAACCAACTAAAATCAGCATACTGCAGTTATAAATGATAAGATTTATAACAATGTATATAGCAGCACAATTCACAATAGTCAATGAATTGTGAAACTGAATTATGAAACTAACCTAGGTGCTCATCAACAGATGAATGGATAAATAAATTGTGATATATATACAATGAAGTTTCACTTGGCCATAAAGAAAAATAAAATTATTTCATATACTTGTAAATGGATAGAACTGGAAAATATCATGCTGAGTGAAATAAACCAGACTCGGAGGTCAAATGTTTTCTCTCATATGCAAACTATAAAGAGGGATAAAAGAAGAATTTTTAAAAAGTATGAAAATAGAAGGGAGACCAATAGAGGAGAAAAAGGGGATTGAGAGGGAAAGAGAAGAAGAAGACAAGGAGAAGTATTGGGGAACAAAAACTACCAAATTATACTATGTCCATATATAAATATACCACAATGAGTCTTGCCATATGTGTAATTAGAATAATAGAAGGGGGATCAGTAGAATAAAACAAGGAGATGGAGAGTGAAAAGGAAGGTACTAGGGAGTGAGATTGATCAATTATGTTTTGTGCATTAAAAATATAGCACCACTAAAAAGAAATTTTAAAATACAATTTTAAAAAGTGATTAGAAGAAAGACTGGGGAAAATGTGCCCAAAGTAATAATTAACTTTTTAATACCACATTGAGGAATTTTGTTTCCTTTTTTTTTAAACTATGTGCCATATTACTGTCATTGAGGGTTTTTAAGTAAAGGATATGACAGGTAGAAATACTGATGTCACAAGCATATAACTGGTATCAACATGAAGAACAGATTGTTCTCCATTCCTTGCTCTTTCCTTAGCCTGTTTGAAAAGGCGGTTGCTGTGCTATGTGTTATGTGTTATGACAGAGGTTGGAGGGGTGAGAGAAAGGGAAAAGGAATATAACTTCCTGTCACCTCCTAGCTTGCATGGTCATACTCTAAATTTTACCTTTGCTTCTAACTCTTATTTCCAAAGTCTCATATTTTTCTTTCCTCTTGTTCAGTGTATAGTTTGTTCCTGATTCTCTAAAATGGAAACCCTTCTACCTGGCCTCAGAGCTACATATCTTTTTGCTTTCCAGGAACTTCATTCCTGCAATTAATTCCTCTCCTGAATTGCTGTTACTAGATCATCATCATTAGCATCTCCTGAGCCTTCAACAAAAACCTCTCTTGATTCCATTTTTCTCTGGATTTCCATCTGTCTACCCTCTTCCCTACTCCCTTTATAGAAAAGCTATCCTTACTAATTGTTTTCATTTTCTTTCTTCCCATTTCACACCTCACAGCACTCCAGTCTGGCTTTCCTTCCCACTACGCCTATGAATGCTTATGTAGAATTTATATATATTTTCTGTTTACAAACCCAGAGATCACATCTCAGTCCTCTTTACTGCTCAACTGGTTACTCTGTTTTTATAGATTCTATGATGTTATATGATCCTGATTTTTCATCTACTTCACTGACCTTTCCTTTTTAGTCTCTTCTTTTCCCTTTACCTGCCAGCTTTCGGGAGTTCACCTAAAGTACTGCTCACTTATTTCATCTTGCTTCCTAGATGACCTCATTCAGTCATAAAACTTTAAACACCAAGCTAATAGTTCTGAATTTTTGTCTTGAAATCCAATCTCCCCTGAGTTTATATTTCTGGACCCATTTGTCTACTTGACCACCATCACAAAATTAGTCTAAATGGAGATTTGATTTTTACAAACACTTCCCCAAAAATCCTAACCCTCCCCCAGTCTTTGGTAAGTAGTACTATCATCTTATCCACTTATTCGTACCAAAAGCTAAACCTCATCTTTGATGATGATTATTTTTCCTCTTCCCTACTCTACATGTAAGATATTAGTAAATCTTTTTCTCCAGAATCTTTCTCTTTCTCTCTTTTGTTTTTTGTTTTTGTTTTTGTTTTTGTTTTTTTTTTGCGCCACATCCACCCCACCCCCATTCCATTCCATACTACCATCTCCTCCCTGAGGGGAGATATATCTGTTGTATAGGTCAGTGTTTGGTCCAGAAGCATCAATTCTTTTTATTTTTGTTTTAATTAAAAGAATTTTTGAATGAGTAATTTCTTTTCTTGGGATTAGTGATGAGATTAGAGTTCATGGTTTCATTGAAATCTCGTCATTTTCTTTGACTTATCAAAATTATCAAAATTCCTTTGTTCTTTTTTTTTCTTTTAAAGGTATTGTCCTTGCTGTAAAACTGATTCCAGTGAGGTTGTAAAGGCTGGTGAAAGACTCAAGATGAGTAAAAAGAAAGCAAAGATGCCATCTGCTAGTACTGAAAGCCGGAGAGACTGGGGCAGGGTAAAGAAGAATTTCTTTTTTTCCTAATAGCAAATTATAGTGTGTAATGAATGTTTCAATACCAGTAGTAGTAATGGTATAAAAGGTTAAATAATATAATTGTTAATATCAGCAATATTTAAATTACATAAATGGTTGATTTTCTGTTTTATTCACATCTTATCTTTCATTAAGATTTAACATAATTGATTTCTCAAACAGCTAATTTTGTGACTTTACAGGGAATGGCTTGTGTTGGTCGTACAAAAGAATGTACTATTGTACCCTCCAATCATTATGGACCTATTCCTGGTATTCCTGTTGGATCAACTTGGAGATTTAGAGTTCAGGTATGTTTTTTAATTGCTTAGTTGAAATGGTAAAATTGGGTATAGTTAAAAGAGAAGTAATGTTTTAACAATATTTTGATTGTAAATGGACCTTGCTGGTAGCACATGGTGTTCATTTGTTAGAATGAAAGATTTTCTTTGGGGTGTGCTCTTCCTTAGCAGATGACACACAGGAACATATATCACAGACTTAGTGATGAGCTATGCTTTCTTATCACATTGTTTTACTCTTCTATTATAGTTACAGTGTTAACATTATTGGTAAGCTTTCTAAAGAATTTTTCTTACAAAAAATTAATATTTAAAATATATGGGTTGGAGTTGTGGCTCAGTGATAGAGCGCTTACCTAGCACATGTGAGGCACTGGGTTTAATCCTCAGCACCACTTAAAAATAAATAAATAGGGGTTGGGGGTTGTGGCTCAGTGGTAAAGCACTCACCTAGCATAGGTGAGGCATTGAGTTCAATTCTCAGCACCATATATAAATAAATTCATTAAGCAAAGTTCCATTGACAACTTAAAAAAATTAATAAAGTTATTTAAAAAATAAAATGTAAGTTTTTCTTTAAGCCACATATTAAATTCTCATTTATTGTCATTGAACTCTAAGCTTCCTTTGGGTATTTTTTTGAGACATATCCTCCTGAATGAATGCTGAGATATTGGGCAGAAGGAAATGCTAGCTAATCCAGGAATAAAATTATTTCTCTTTTCCCCTTGAGGAAGACTGTGTTATATTTATTCCTGATTTCCTTTTCAGAATATTAATTCTATCATKGGACATTTAATGTGGAAAAAAATCTCTAAAGCAATTTCCAATTAGCAATATCTATGATTCATGACTTTAATTAAGATAAGTTTTAATTTTTATGTTCAGTGGCCCTGATACTTAGACTTTTAATACAGTTTTAAAATTAAAATAACATTATACATGGAACAGATTGAAAAATTAAATTGATTTGTATTTTTTAAAACCTCCCCTACTTTTCATTCCCATTTTCTGTTTCTCAAAGAGAAAATTCTAATTATTTCCCCTGGATTTACCTCATTATTTCTAAATAACATATTTATATGGTTTTCTTTCCTTCATACTTTAGTTGAAAGATGAACATTTAGTTTAGTACTTATGTTTGTTGTGGAATAGCTGTATCATAATTTTGGCTGAATTGGTAATCAGGATTTATATTTTTATGGCTCTAAGTATATTAAAGTTCTATAAATAAATGTAATATAAAATACTGTAAATATTTTTATTTACTTCATTATGTTTGTGTGTGTATATATCTGTCACTAATTCATTCCCAAACTTTAAAAGCCCCTTTAACATGGTCTAAGGTGATTATGAAGTTGTTGGCCTCAACAACTAATTAGATGGATTTGCTATTTAAAGAAAAAGAGAACAGATTTATTTTTACCAATGTTAGTGAGGTGGGGAAAGCAAATAGCCTGTTCTCCTGCTGAAGTGGTGGGTGTTTTTAAGACCTAAGCCTTTCCAGGTTCTGTTGCTCTTATTAGCTTCTAAAGTGCCATCTTTTCTCATGCTTACTATGCAAGCTTGAATTTCAGRTTCCTTTAACTCTGCTAAGAGCAATCTTATGTCAAAGGGATGAATTATAATACCTTTCTAAGGGAGTCTGAAATACATGAAGAAGTAACACTTTTTTTTCAGAGAGGCAGAATTCAATATATATGAGAAAAAGCTGTAGGCTACTGAAATAGAACAGTATCACTAAACTGGAATAAGTTGAATAACATCAAAAAATTTTGGTGTAAACATATAGTTTCCATGAAGGAGATACAGGAGATACAGCTGAGAAAATAGAAGCCAGATTAAGAGAGGTGTATTGACATGCTTAACTTGGGCTGAATACTATGAGACCATTGAATATATTTTGAAGAAGTTGAAAATGAGACTCAATTCTTAAAAGAATCCATTCTGTTTATGATAGATACAGTGGGTTTGAGTAACTAAAACTGGAGGCAATGAAAGATGGTCTATTATAAACATTCATGTTTCAAACTGATGTTGCACACCTGAAGTAGAAAAAAGATGGATTCAAGGGATTTAAAAGGGAAAATCAGGATCCTTGTGACCAAATGGTTTGGGGGAATGTGGAAGAAGTATAAAGTTTAGAATGATTTGACAAACTGGATAGGGAACAGTCATAAACAAAGATGAGAAAGAAGGGAAAAGATGTTTCAATAACTAATAGTTTCTTTTTAGCTGTTAAGCTAAAATCCCAATTATAAAAGAAGATAATTATTTAATAATGTGAAACTCAGAATTCTAGACCTACTCATTTTAGGCCTATTAGCTCAGTGCTTTTAGGGGTTTTAGGAGAACTAAATGAGAAAGCAAAAGACCCAACTCTGGGTGAGACATGGCTCTTAGATTTTTAAGGTACAATAATAAATGAGAAATCATTTTCTAAATGTAACTCAACTGTTCAGAGGTAATGTGGTCTCATTTTACTTATTTTATAGGTGAGCGAAGCAGGTGTTCATAGGCCCCATGTTGGTGGAATTCATGGTCGCAGTAATGATGGGGCTTATTCTCTTGTCCTGGCTGGTGGATTTGCGGATGAAGTTGTAAGTCATCATATGACTTTGTTCTTTAGAATCTGTCCTGATCATTCAGCAAATTATAAAAGCTTTGTCTAGGCTACAACAAATACTATCTCTTTTTAGCATTGTTTTTTATATTGAAGCAATCAGTTTTATACAGTTATAAGGGAAATCAGTTGGCAGTGTCTATACTGATTTGACATACACATATGTATATTTGTAACTGAATATCCTGAGGAGACTGCATTCTCAATGGAACTGTTTTTTTTTTTAAATATTTTTAAATGTTGATGGACCTTTATTTTATTTATTTATATATGGTGCTGAGAATCGAACCCAGTGCCTCACACATGCTAGGCAAGCGCTCTACCACTGAGCCACAGCCCTCAATGGAACTATTTTTAAAAATTAAACTTACTACTTTGAGATAATTGTAGATTACAGTGATTAATTGTAGCATTAGAATAATGCATACATCCTGTTCCCTCCATCCAGTTTCCTCCATTAGTGACATTTTATAAAACCATGTAGCACAATATCACAACCAGGATGTTGATGTTGACACAATAATGCTACTGAACATTTTTGTCACAATTTCCATTGTCTTGTTGCCCTTTGATAGTTATACTCATTGTACTAGGTCTTCAAGCCCTCTCTAACCCCTGATAATCATTAATGTGCTCTTCATTTATATAATTTTGTCACTTCAGAAATTTTTATAAATGGGGCTATGGATGTAGCTCAGTGATAGAGCATTTGCCTGGCATACACAAGGGCCTGGGTTTAGTCACCAGCATGGGGGGGGTTGTTTAATAAGTGGAATCATGTATTTTATAACCTTTGGTACTGACTGACTTTCTTCACTTAGCATGATTCTCCAGAGATTGTGACAGGTGTCAATAGTTTATTCCTTTTTATTGCTGAGTATTAGTCCATGGTAAGGATGTACCACAGTTGACTATTCACCTGTTGAAGGAATATCTGGATTACTTCTAGTTTTTAGCTATTATGAATAAAATTGTAGTAGACTTTTGTGTACAGTCTTTTTGTAAGCATAAATCGTTATTTCTCTGGAATAAACATCAAGAAGTACAATTCCTATGTCATATGTGATAGTGGCATGTTTAGTTTTTTTCAAAAGATTGCCAAACTTTATTTTAATTTTATCTCAATAAAGCTATGGGGAAAAGAAAGATCGCCAAACTTTTCCAGAGTTAACTGTATATACAATTTTACATTCCCATCAGCAAGATATGAGTGATTAAATTTCTCTGCATTGCACCAGCGTTTGCTGCTGTTGCTACTTTTTATTGTAGCCATAATGATAATTTATAATTTATCTCATTTTTAGGATTTTAGGGGGATTGAACTCAGAAGCATTCTATTACTAAGCTATATCCTAGCCACTGCCTGCACTGCCTCCCCTTCCCACCCCGCTTTTTTAAAATGTTGAAACAGGATCTCACTATTGCCCAGGCAGGTCTTAAGCTTGAGCTCTCCTCCTGCCTTAGCCTTCAAAGCAGCTGGGTTTACAGCTGCATGTCACTTTGCCCAGCAGTTCTTCTTATTTTAATTTGCATTTCCCTAATGGCTAATGATATTGGACATCATTCATTGGCTTATTTGTCATCTCTATAGCCTCTTTGGTAGCATAGTCCTTCAGGCTTTTTTTTTTTAACCCATTTTTTTTCAGAAGCTAAATTATTTTTTCTTTTAAAAAGTTATTTTATTATAAAATGACTGCCATAATGTATTTATATATTCTATGAAAAGTTTTATGGAAAATATCTGTATGCCAAAGACACTAAATTTTTGTGTGTATGTGGTTGAAGGATTTCATCTTTATTTTTTTAATTTTAATTTTTTTTTTGAAACTACATGACAGGAGTGGAAAGTATTACAATTCTTATTATACATATAAGGCACACTTTTTCATATCTCTGTATATAAAGTATGTTCATGCCAATTTATGTCTTTATACATGTACTTTTTTATTACAATTCTTAATGCACATATATACCACAATTTTTTAACCCATTTTTAAATTAGGTTATTTGTTTTTTTGATGTTCACCATGTATTTTTTCTCCCACTCTGTTTTATTTGCTTTCTTTCATGGGATATTATGATGAATTAAAGTAGCATAGAGAACACATTTGTGGTATGCTTTTAGACAAAAATAGAAAAGTTTGCCAATTTTCTAATAGGCCAATTTAGCAGTGTATTTATATTATCATAGATGAAGAAGCAGAAAATGGAGATATTCAGGTTAGTCATTGCAAACTTCTTTAATATACATGTTCTGAAGCTATATCTTTATCAGAAATAGTGCCAATGTTATATAGTTTATTACTGACTAGAACTTTTTGAACTGTGTAACAGAACCAACTAGAAGTGGGATCTCTTTCGCATTTATTTTTAGATCTGGGAAGTTGTATTTGATCTGACATTTGTTGTGTATGAAACTTTGGGCAAATTACTTAACTTCAATAACTTCCCCATATGTAAAATAGAAAAAAATAGTAACATTATTTTATATCAGGAAACATTATGTAGTCCTGGAAACATAACGAGGACTCAGATGGTAATTATATTCTCTGTAGCAGAAACATATCTTAAATATATGAAGCAAATTCAACATATAAAGCTAAATATGAGTACCAAGTTTCAGTGGAAGAATAGGTGTTACTATTTCTTTTTTTCCATTTTTCTAATATAATTGCTAGTTGAACACTTAACACATTTGTAGAGAAATGAAAGGTTAAATATTTACTTGTGTTAAATAGTTAATTCTAACTGTGTTAAATAATATAAAGAATAATTTACTTTAGGACTAAGATGATATACAGACTTAGTTGCCAGCTAAGATGTATATCTGCGATGTTAATGTATAAGTGTTTTCAACATTTTGCTCTATTATAGGCAAGGAATAGGTGAGGGAAACTTAAATAAGCTTTTCTTTCTTTTCTTTTTTTTTAAATAAGCTTTTTTTATTTGCGAGAAATTTGATGTAACCTTGAATTTGATGTAACATTCATGTAGCCAGTGATCTTTGTTCTGTTTGGGTGAATGGACATGAAACTCTTAAGTACCTGTTGACAAACTAGTTAATATTTAGTCTAGAAACTTGAGAATTAGCCAAATGCTAGTTTTGGTGTCCTGTATTTGGGTGATCTTTCTTGAAAAGTAAGGACCCTAAAAAGTGATCGGCCTGTTCTCAGTTGTCTTGAGAAGCAGTTTACTTAGAAGAAGACTTTGAAACCACACTGTTAGGGTTTGCATCCTGGAGCCATTTCTTCCTTGCTATGGGTTTAGCATGTTATGGAACCTTTCCCTGATCTGTAAAATAAAGTTTACACACTTAGCTTATAGGCTTAATGTGAAGGTAGAATTATGTGAAGGCTTAATGTGTTGGTAGAATTAGTTGTATGCTGCTGGGTGGGGTCTTGGGCAGCTACTTCAAAAACTTATAAGAATAGAGACTGGGAAATTGCATTTCTCTGGGGGCAGCATGGTGTCCCTTGTCAAGAGACAGGTATTTTATTTATTCATTTATTATTTTTTTTTTCTGTGAGCTCTTCCTAGGCAGTATCCTCATTTAGGCTCCTGCTAGGGGCACAAGTTAGTGGATGATGGACTTGGAGATGCAACAAATTTAGGCTGATAATTTTTCCTTAGGAAAAATAATCTGAAATAATGTTGACTGAACTCTGGCAAGTCTTCTCCTTCCTTTGATAATATAGAAGTTTTTGTTGTTATAATCATTGAATTACAGATGAGTTAATGTTATAGAATTTTAACTATTATTTTTTGATCCTTGATTATTTGGTTATTTATTGCCTGAGGAACAATCAGAAATGTTTTTGTAATCCCACCATTTGGAAGGCTGAAGCAGGAGGATTGCAACTTCGAGGCTAGATTCAGCAGCCAAAATTGTCTCTAAAAATGAAAGGACTAGGGGTACATCTTGGTGGTAGAGCACCCCTGAATTACATCCCCAGTACTGAAAATATAAATAAAATTATTTTTTAAAAAAATTGAGGCAATTAAATAAAAGAAATGTTCTAGATATACTTACCAGAATTCCTTTAATTGTAACATACTTTAAAGATGAAATTCCTCAATGTCTTATTTTCTTTAAATAGAGACCTCAATATTAGACCAACAAAAAGTGAATTCAAGGTTTTGAGGCCAGTAAAAACACTTTTAAAGGTCAGGATTTTAGTTAGGCTTTTAATCCAAAGGGAAAAAAATGAAAAGATATGTATAGTTGACCTCAGCAAGTACAGAAAATGAGAAAAACATCAGAAAAAAAACAATTAAAGTAATGTTTAGCTAGTGTGGTAGAATTAGTTATATGCTGCTGGGTGTGGTGGAGTATGCCTGTAATCCCAGTGACAGTGCCTTGGGAGGCAGAGGTAGGAGGATCATGAGTTTGAGACCAGCATTGGCAATTTAGCAAGACCCTGTTTCAAAAATGGGGCAGGGTCGGGGGGCTGGGATGTAGCCCAGTGGTAGAATAACCCTGGGTTCAATCCCTAGCACCACCCCCCCTGCAAAAAAAAAGAAGTTGTCTATTGATGGTTACTTCAGTTACTTTTCTCAACTACTGATGATTATTTTTTCTTAACTTATTTTGAGTTACCAAATCACCTAAAGACTTAGTAATACCGATCTAAATTTTTAGCTTTACAGAAATAATTGTGTAGTTTGTTGATATAACATTTTCTTTTAGCATTTTTCTTTTACATTTAGTAGATATTAAATACTGCTTTAATTTTCAAATTATTTTCCAAATTTTTTATAGTAGAATGAGTATTTTACCTAAATATATAGATGAACTCAAGAATATGAAATGTAGAGAATGAATTATGCTATTAGAATTCTAATATGAAATTTTAAGATAAACTTGCCTAATAAAAATTTTTTAATGTCAACATTAGGATTTGAATATTTGTCACCAAATTTAGGTATGGTGTAGATGACAGCTATGAATTCAGTTATGGACTGTTTGTGAAAGTGATACTGTCCTATGAAGAATATAAGGACTGAGGGTGTAGCTCAGTGATAGAGCATTTGTCTAGCAGGGGCAAGGCCTTGTGTTCAATCCCCGGCACCACAAAAATGAAATCCAGATATGATGGCACATATCTCTAATCCCAGCTACTCAAAAAACGGAGGCAGGAGGATTGTAAATTTGAGGCCAGCCGAGGCAATTTAGCAAGACCCTGTCTCAAGATAAAATAAAAAGGACTGGAAGTCTAGCTCAGTGAAAGAGCATTTGCCTAGTATGTGTGAGTTCCTGAATTCAATACCCTGTATTGAGTGTGGGCATGGGGGGATTACAAGCTAGTATTGATATGTTTATTAACACTGAATTAAATTAAATCTAATATTTCTAACTCATAAGACCCTGACTTGTAACATTCTGAGGATTATTTGGCTACATATATAGCTTGAGAATAGCCATGTTTGGAGACGTTGGAAGCTAGAACTAGAAAGTGAAACTAATTTAGATCAAGTGATATATCTTGAAGGTATATAACTTGATCTGAATTTTGCATTATTTTGATAGAGTTTAATATTGTGTACATGTCTGTTCACAATATTCTTATTAAATGTTCTGACTCTAAAATGAGAATTTGTGAAATTATACTTGCATTTAATATCTTAATGTAAAAATCTTCTCCTATAGGACCGAGGTGATGAATTCACATATACTGGAAGTGGTGGTAAAAATCTCGCTGGTAATAAAAGAATTGGTGCACCATCAGCTGATCAAACATTAACAAACATGAACAGGTACTGTTGTAAAGATGCTTAGAATTTGGATGTTGTATGAAAATTTGATTGTAGGATCATAACTTGTAACTTATGCTGCAAGGCAGAATCGTAAATTAGGAATTAAAGAATTGAAATTAAAATTCCATCGCCTGATTATATACTTATAAGCATCCTAAATTTTTTTTCTAATTTATTTTTTAATACTGTTAATTTTCAAAAGGCATAATTCCCAGTCTTGCTTAATACCTGTGTTGTACTTTAAAAAAAATAAATGTCTATTTTTAAAGAAAAGGAAGATATATAATTTAAGTAAAATTGAAAATGAGGCAGCTTGTTTACTGTGCCATAAATTAAAAACAAAGTGATGTGGGCTGGGGAAATAACTCATTTGGTAGACTGCTTGCCTTGCATGCACAAAGCCCTGGGTTCAATCCTCAACACCACAAAATAATAATAATAATAATAATAATAAATAAAGTGATGTTCTCTTCAACATAGATTTCTTTTAAATTGACAAACTTCCTTTTAGAGGAGACTCACTAGTGTGAAATACCATTGTGATTAGGAGCCACATGTACATAAATGAAATATAAGATAAATCAGATCTGCACTCAAGCTTTTATATTAATAAGTTGCCTTTTGAGTGTTATAAAAGAGAATGTTTGTTTGGTTACCAGTGATCTTTTCAAAATAAATCTCCTTCAGGCATTACAAAAGAGCCACCTTGGGGCTGGGGATGTGGCTCAAGCAGTAGTGTGCTAGCCTGGCATGCGTGCAGCCCGGGTTCGATCCTCGGCACCACATACAAAAACAAAGATATTGTGCCCGCCGAAAACTAAAAAATAAATATTAAAAAAAAATTCTTAAAAAAAAAGAGCCACCTTGTGCTTACCTTTATTCTGTAGAAATATGAATGACATTCTGGCTCCCACGGGACCATAAAATTTAATTTCACAATTTTTTTTGTAAATGCATGCTAATATCAATGTTAATAACAGATAAGTAACCCAAACCAAAAGATAACAAAGATCACAGTATAACATGTCCCTCCAAGTACTTGTGATCGTTTTATATAGTTAAAATTTTGTGTATTATCTAGTAAGAGTATTTTCACTGAATCTAAATCTCTTGGTTTTAAAAGCATCCCCTTAATTTCTAATTACCATGTGAAGTAGAGAATATACCAGTATGATTTCAAGACTTTACTGCATACTGAGTTACACAGAATCTCTGTTTTTGTGTCTTGTATATTATTTCTGACAGTAGGATTATTTTACTGAACCAGCAGAGAAGACGGGTCAGATTTGCTGGTGGGAAAAAAAAAAAGTATTCCTGAGACAGGAGTCCAAACTCTACCTATATACCTTTTCCACCAAGAAGCCAGTTCTTCAGGAGGAATAATCTTTTAAAAAGTTAAAAGTACTTTGACCTATTTTTATCAATGAAAATATATCTTGGATGTTCAAAACGTCTTTTTAAAGTTCTCAGATCTGAAAATTATATTGTCCCGTTAATAATGAGACTATTTTACTTGTATGAAACTTCTTTGATCAGTACCCACGCTTGTAATGTAGATCCCTTTCAAGCGTTTATACATACAARTCTAAACACTGTGAAAATCTCTTTAGAAAATAATTGACCTAGGGCTGGGGATGTGGCTCAAGCGGTAGCGCACTCGCCTGGCATGCTTGCGGCCCAGGTTCGATCCTCAGCACCACATACAAACAAAGATGTTGTGTCCGCTGAAAACTGAAAAATAAATTTTTTTAAAAAAAGAAAATAATTGACCCATTAAAATGTTTGCTATTAAAAGGGAAGTTATGAAAATGAAATATTAACTGAAGAAAATTTAGGGTTGACTTGCCATATAGACTTTAACATCCACTTGGCTACTTTACACCTTCTGACTAAAAAGACCTTTAGGGCAAAGAGACCTATGTCTTAGGAACACGAAAACTGGGATGAGAGGCCTTTAGGTTTGACCCATAGGTTGCTCTTTCCCAAATGGTATATGGTACAATTCCTTTACCAGCTTCTCTGCTGAGAGGAAATTTAACATTTTTTTGCTTCTGAAAAGTTTACCCCTAGTTCTTCCAAACTCTTTCACTTTAAGGAACTAAAGAGGTAGCAAGGCAACCTGGCTATCCTTTATCAGGGAAGTTAGAAGCAAATGATTGGTTGAGCTACAGATAGAGTAATGGAAGAGCTTTGTTGTTGTTTTGCCTAGTTTCATCCTTTAGAGACTTCGTACATTATTGAATGACTTTTGCACTTACCTGAAGCCAGAACCGAGTTGGCAGTTCCAGTCAATGGTGGCAGTAATTATGAGTGAAGACTCCGTGAGCTTTAAAGTATGAGGTGGTAATCACCCTACCTCTTTAAGAAAATGAAATATGCTTTTTTAATTTTTTTCAATCAAGCATTGAACCTAAGGGCACTTATCCACTGAGCCACATCCCCCGCTGTTTTCATTATTTTGAAACAGAGTCTCACTAAGTTGGTTAGGGCCTTACTAAATTGCTGAATCTGGCTTTGAACTTGTAATCCTCCTGCCTCAGTCTCCCGAGCTGCTGGGATTACAGGCATGGGCCACTGCAACCAACCCAAGTATGTATATCTTGATAGGTATTCCATAAGTAAGATATAAATACTAGCCCTAGAGTTAATGGCTATATTTTCTTCTACCTCCCAAAGTTGTTTTTTATTTTATTTAGAGACAGCATCTCACTGAGTTGCTTAGCACCTTGCTTTTTGCTGAGACTGGCTTTGAACTTGTGATCCTCCTGTCTTAGCCTCCCAAGCTGCTGGGATTACAGGTGTGTGCCACCACACCTGGCTACCTACCAAAGTTTTAAAGTATCTACCTCCCTTTTTGATAAAAAGATAATTTGGTAAGCTTTATTTTGACTACCGCTATAAAAGTTGTTTTTAAAAACAAAGTACTTCAAGCTATCTGTACACAGCTATAAAAGTTGTTTTTAAAAGCAAAATACTTTAAGCTTGTTTACTTTAAATATATAACTGTGATCAAGAGGTTCCTTTTCAACAGGTTAGTCATAGTCTTAACTTTTTGAGACTACATAAAAGAACCTTGCCCTGAAAAAGTATTTTGTATAATATCCGATTTGATCAGATTGGGAATATTTTTTTTTCCTAAGCCTTATGTGTTCTCAGTGTTTTCTTGTCACTTAAGTTAGGAAGTAGGTATCTCAGAGGAGAATACTGGTTTTAAACAAATTGTGCTATTTTTGGTAGGACTGGGTTCTCCCGAGAAAAGTCTTCTAACATCTGATTACCTCATTGATTTTTTTTTTTTTAATTACAACCTGAGTACACACACTAAAAAGTTTGGTTAAGTCAGATGCTCATTCCAACTCAGTGTTCCTCCCTGTCTATGTGTCATTAGTAACTGGTAGTGATCTCAAATAGTCAGAAATTCTTAATATCATGATATAGCACAAGTGTTTTGATTCTTCAGTCTTATTTAAATTTATCTTTCTGTGAAGACCTTTGAATAATATTCTCATATTATATTTGTTCTTAATATCCCTTAAACTTTCAGGACTCTCTTGTCTGGAAAGTGGAAAGTACCTAACTTTGTTGGCAAATTAATTTTCCTGGATTTATTTCTAATTATTCCAGCAATTTGCCATACTCCCTTATCAAAAAAAGATTAAAACAATCACTTGCTTTAGTTTTCCAACATTCTCCCTTCCTTCAACAAACGTTATTTAAAGAAAATTCCATGTATTTTTAGTTGTTTTCTATTATACGTGGCACAGATGTTGTTACTTTCAGAAGAACCCTACAGGCTATCTGAGAACCAATCCCCTGGCTTGGGGGTGACATCAGAAAACTGATTTGTCTTCTCTGCTGGTGGGGGAAAGCTAAATCCTATTATCTGGAATAATATGGAAAGAATCATAGAATCTTAACCATCAGGTAAGGCATAATTCACCTTTTAATGGAGCTAATGACTCGATTATATACATGAAGAAAGATTACTTGGTATAAAGACTTTGTTTTATTTTTTAGGGCATTGGCCCTAAACTGTGATGCTCCATTGGATGATAAAATTGGAGCAGAGTCTCGGAATTGGAGAGCTGGTAAGCCAGTCAGAGTGATACGCAGTTTTAAAGGGAGGAAGATCAGCAAATATGCTCCTGAAGAAGGCAACAGATATGATGGCATTTATAAGGTGCTCTATCTGGCATGACATCTTATTAGTCATTCTTCCTGGGCTTTCAAGACAGGGTTGCCACAGGGAATTACAATGGATGGGCTAAGGAAAAAAGTGGGGATAGTGTTGGTATTTCTACTTTTTCTGGAAGTTTAACAGATACACAAAGTAAACTCTTAACTCTGATACTTCAAAAAAAATTAAAAAGCTTATTTGAAGTTTCTAAGTGCAGTTATTTTGGGTTAATATCTTTTAAATAAGTATGTATTTTCTATGATAAACTTTTAAATAATTTGGCCATTATAAATCTTGATTCTCATATCTTTTCAGAACACTTTTAATTTTAATGATTAATAGATTTTCAAAGCAGAACACATTATAATATTAAAATAAGATTGTATTCTTTGTTTAAAATTAGAGGCATCAATTGCCACCATTATTATCTACTTAATATGCAAAATTCACTGAATGAGCATAATTTTGTTACTATGCTAAATTTATAGCAATGTTTTCTTACATTAGAACTATCTTAATAGAAGACAAGATCAAAACAATATTTTAGTGAATATTCTTGATTATTTACTATTCTTACAGCAAAGCAAGTATCTTATGAAGTTGCACTTAATTCTGGAAAGTTTACTTAAACCACTGATATAATTATAAATAAGCCTAAACTTAATCTCAATCTTGTACTGAAATATTATGATGTAGGTGGTGAAATACTGGCCAGAGATTTCATCCAGCCATGGATTCTTGGTTTGGCGTTATCTTTTAAGAAGAGATGATGTTGAACCTGCTCCTTGGACCTCAGAAGGAATAGAACGATCAAGGAGATTGTGTCTGCGTTTACAGGTTAGATTACATTTGTCTAGGAAACTTGTGTTCATAAAAATGTATACCTCTATACTATCTATCTGCCTAACAGTGGATATAACTCATATAGCAATTGATCGGTGGAATATAAGGGGTGAGGAATAAGATCATGCAATTATACAGATGCAAAAGGAGTAAGAAGGTATCATCCTAATTGTCAAACTACCCTAGGACCAAGGGTTGTGCTTGGGAAATACTGGACTTGTCAATGCAAAATGAAATATTTCCAATTGGATTTGGAGACAATTTGAAGTATATAAAAAAAAAAGAGATTCATGAAATTTTTGTTTAGGAAGTCTTGAGTCCAGATATTTATTCTAGAGGGCATAGGGGGTATATCTCTGGCAGGGGAAGGGTGGGGAGGTGGCTTTTAAGAGTGTTCTGCTTTTTACCCTTCTCACTTTTCCTCACCCCTTTTCTCTCTTCCCCCGCAAAGCTGCTTCCTGCCCTGCCATCATTTTTAGTGCTTTGCCTTTTTTTCCCCTTTGCCCATGTTCAGCTGCTAACCCATAAAAGACTTTGTTGGTTTTGTGTGCATACTGGATGGTATGAATGCATTCCCCTTTCACTGCCTGTATACCCTAGACTTTGTCCCTAACACTGAAATCAGAGCATGGTTTGAGTTTATCCCCATCATTCCCCATTGTTGTGCTTCCTGTAGAGACTGCCAGCTTTGTCATTTCCCCTGGCTCTGCCCACACTGCATGTGTAGGGGCTGAACTATGGGCAAGTGTCTGACCACCCATGCAGGTGAGTGTGTGTCTTCTAGTGCAAGTCTGTTTCTGTTTTTGTTCTTTTTAAATACATAGGAGTGTTTAAATCCACCAATTGCTTAAATAATCACCAAAATAATTACTTTTATAACTAAATATACAAATCCATTTTCAAAAGATTTTTTCAAGCCAGAGCGTGGTGCCCATGCCTATAATCCCCTCAGTGTAAGACGCTGAGGCAGGAGAATTGCAAGCTCAAAAGCCAGCCTCAGCAACTTAGTGAAACCTTGTCTCTAAATAAAAAAGGGCTGGGGATGTGGCTCAATGGATGAGTGCCCCTAGGTTCAATCCCTGGTACAAAAAAAAAGATTTTTTAGATCCCAGTGTTCAGAGCATTGTTCTAGATAGGTTCAATTTGAGACTGTGAGCAGAAGCATGTAAGCCCATTTACTATAGTAAGTGAGTAACATCATTGATTAGGCCATAAATGCATGGATCTTTAAACAAGAGCATTCTCACAAAAGTCTGTCCCACCTGCCCCACCTCAGAACACTCTAACCCATGAAAAAAGCATAAGGGTGATAATAAAGCATAAGGGTGATAGATAGAATTTATCCCTTAAACTCTTTTAGGTGGCTTTATGTATAAAGCACCAATTAAAAATAAAAAACCAGGGCTGGGGTTGCAGTTCAGTGGCAGAGTGCTTGCCTAGCATGTGATCCACTGGGTTGGATCCTCAGCACCACATAAAAATAAATAAATAAAGATATTATACCCATATACAATTTAAAAATATTTTTTAAAATAAAATTAAGAATTAGTGAAAGGAAGACCAGTAGAGTAGAGAAAGGGGAATAGGGGAAGGGAAAGTGAAATGGCCCACCAGGGACTGAAATGGAGTAAATTAAATTACATGCATGTATGATTATGTCAAAATGAACCTAACTATTATGTGTAACTATAATGTACTAATAAAAGCATTTTTAAAAAAAGTGTGTTATGTGTTAGAAAATTGAATAATTTAGTTGTTTTACATTTTATAAAAGCTTTATCTACCTCCGTTCCTAATTTTGGAAGATGAGAAATTTGTCCCTTAATTTTCTATTTTAGATTGACTCCACAGTTTGCTATAATACCATCTATTTGATTACTGTCTGTTGTGTTCTATGGTTGCTCTTCACTTTACCTTATCTAGATTCTTCTTAAACTTCTCGAACTACATAGACATAACTTAAGATTTTTTGTTTCTTAGATCTGAAAGTAAGATCATTATATTATAAAATGGAATGTTTTAGCAGTAAAAGCTACATAGTTTTATACTGGATTGGGGATTTTACTACTCTTCTGTCCTTTGAAGTTTTCTTTTTTAATTGTGTATCTCCTTTGTGTAAATTCTTAAAATTTGTGGAAGTATAGACCACCTCCCTTAAAATTTCTCACCGGGATCTAGAATCTCCCTTCTCTGTGAGGCTTAAGTCTTTGTTGTCCTTTTCACCCTCCACCACCATCAGTATCCAGCAGGTTACCCTTCAGATAAAGAAGGGAAGAAGACTAAAGGGCAGTCAAAGAAGCAGGCCAACAAAGCTACAAAAAGACCGGCCTCAGATGGTGAGTAATGTTTGCAGAGTATATATCCTATTAACATACATTTTAATATTGGAAATCTTGAGAGAATCATAAGAAATTAAAAGAAAAGGGCTTTTGTTGTTTTGGGGGAGATGGATCTTTTCGTACATTTTAATAGTGTCAGAGCCATAACAGAAGCAATTATGGTATCCTAAATGCTAAAAAGTCAGATGCTGCTTTATGTGGGTATCTTCCTTCTAAATATTGCTGATACTCCTTAACTCTTTTGTTAATTGGATCTATTTAATAGTTTTAAACAGAACTGTGAATGTCTGCTGACATTTTTTTTTTAATAAATATAGATGAGTGTCCAAGTGCCTCCAAAGTGTTGAAAGCATCAGATTCAGCAGAAGCTGTCGAGGCTTTTCAACTCACCCCTCAACAGCAGCACTTAATTAGAGAAGACTGTCAAAACCAAAAGCTGTGGGATGAAGTGCTTGCATCTCTTGTGGAAGGACCAGTATGTACAGTTTTTTTAAAACAAGAATGTTCTACTATTAACAACTAATGAAAAGTAATTTCCTTATGAAGTATGATTTTCTCAAGTCAGTCAAAATTGACTTCTATTCAGTTTTATCATTCAGTGTCACCACTTTTCAGAAATATCACAGGCAATAAGTTTAAATGCTTTTAGATTTATTTTAAACCTCTTACAGTTTGGATTTTTATTTCTGTATGTGTGAAAATAATAATTTACATTGAGGTACTACTATTCCTGGGAATAATTTTCAGTTGTGAAACAGTCAACTGAATCTAAAACTCACCAGGAAAGTTTTTGTTATAGTTCAGTTATCCAGTAGCATAACTCTTAAGCAATTTGGTACATAATTTGCAAAACCCATGTGTTCAACTTAGGGATAAAATGAACCAGTATTATTTAAATATTTTATGTTTTTAAATTTTTTCCCCTCTGTTTGGTATTCATAAAATTTTAAAATAAAAAGAATTATAAGGTTAATGTTTGGATTGCATATTCAGCTGTGTTCTATAAATGAAGCTTAAAAAAAAATCCCAAAGTTGGAGACTTCAAATATAAATAATCAGTTCTTTCCTATTTGCTTTTATTGTGTTACTAATTTTGCTTATAAATGTGATCAGCTATTAGATATTGACCTCTTGACATTTACGATACAGTTAGGTATTTTTTTCCCCTTTTCAAAGTATTGTGATGTGCAGATATTGTGGGTAAACTCTAATTAAAACTCCATCTTATCATCTTTTAGTAATTTCTTCCTTCTAGCATTCCCTTTATTTTTCTCATTGCATTAGCTAGAAATTCTCATGTCTGAAGTGGAGTTATCTCTGTACTTTTTGTCTAGAGTTGAAGGAAACTATAAGGGTTTTTGTGTTGCATTTTGTTAGGGAGATAGTTGACATTATTATATTAAGAATCTTCCTTATAACTTATTAGAACAAATTTTAAAATTTTAAAAAATATAAAAAAGAAAAAAAATCTTCCTAATATCTTTATATTGTTAGAAAGTGAAGTTTAGTGAAACTTATCAAAAACTCTTTAGATTTACATTGGAATCATCATTCACTTTGCTTGTAAATGTGATATGTTGGGTTACCCTTGATAAAATGAGTCATGTTTGGAAGACACAGGAAAGTGATTTTACTCTCTGAGAAGTAAAAAAGAAGCTTGCTTTCTAGCTCAGAGACTCAGGCATATTATGACTGTTAGATGCATTTTCACTAGTAATCAGTTGTTAATCAGTGTCTAATTATTCTCTTATTGGGGAGGATACATCTGGTTAGTGATAATTCAGGTGAGTCTCCAATATGGGGGTATGTAGGGGACAAAGTAGCAGATACAGATGGAGCAAAAGTCACCTGAGAACATGTGAAATTCTCTTCCCTGTGGGTATTGTCCTGCATATGACAAGATCTGACCTACTTAGGTCAGATTAATATGACCTTGCTGCTAGTGATTACTCTGGACATTTATGTAATGTTACCCTGGACATGTTTCATATCCATTCTCTTCAGATAAACCAGAAGCATATTTAATAAGCCAGGAAAACAAGTTGTAAGCCAATGATGACTTTTATATAAATATATGTGTATATATTTCTATTCCCTCTATGATTGACAGCTGCAACTACTCAGTAATTTCCTCTTGCTACTCTCTTGTGTATATACTGCTGACTGAAGTTCTGTCTATGCTACTTAAATATACTGGACTTGTGTCTATAGGACTTTACATACATACTGTCTCTGACCAGAATTCTCTCCTTTGCTATTTTCATGTGTCTCATTCATTTATATACATCTTCATGCAAATGTTACACCCTTGAAGGAGCCTTCTCCAGCTACCCTTTTCTAAAACAGCTTCTCTTGAATTTTTTGCTTTAACTTGCTTTGTTTTCTCAGTATCCACTATCTGAAATTAATTTATTTTTTGTCTGTTCTTCTATAGGAATGTAAGTTTCATTAGAACAGAAACTTTTTTTTTGTCTGCTCTTTAACAGGAAAGTAAGTTCCATTAGAGAAGAAGCTTTTTATTATCACTATGTAGATGAGTATCTAGCATGTTATGAAACCTCAAAATATCTATATTATATACCCATATTTTAGACACTATGGAGGTAGAGGTACCAGGAAAATATCAGTCATTAACAAAGTAGCTTGTCAAAGAGAGGAGGGTGCCTGGTATAACCAAGTTTGGGTATTTTTAACACCTCTCCCTAAGTACCATATTCCTTTAATGCATTTATTATTCACTTTCATAATCCATGTTAACATATCAATATCAAGGCATCTTTTGAAATGTGATACTTTTTAAAATTCTTGTAAATTCTACTTTTTCTATTTATGAAAAAGAAAAACTTAAAAAATACTCCCTTACTACCAAAAGTAATTGACTGGAAGATCATCCTTATAACTATTCAAAAAATGCCTTTTTTTCTCCTAGTTAAAAATAAAATAACCAGGGTAAAATGGAACCAGTAATAGCTTCTAAAGATATAGGGTATCCATTTGATCGTGTTTGCTTTAGATGGCTCTATTTTTTATAATCTTATCTCACTTCAGGTAAATATTAGCAATAGGAAAAAATGAGATTTGGGAATTGAGGCAAAATATTACAGAAAATTTTAGAAAAATAAACATGTTGACACTTTGTGGCATAGATACTACTAATTATTATTACCTAGTGTTTTCTTTTTAATCTTCAAAAAAATAAAGTTTTATAACAACAAAAAGATTGACTAGATAATGCCTTTCATATACTAGAATGCTGATGGATAAAAAGATCAATGTGTAATAACTTTGAGACAAGCTACCCATAATTTTTTGGTTGTTTCTTTTGTTGTTGTTTGTAGTGCTGAGCATTGAACCTAGAGCCTTCTGCATGATAGGCAAGTGCTCTACCACTGAGCTACAACCCCAGCTCCTGTTTTGTTTTTGCTTTTGGTTTTTAGGTGAAAAATAGTTATCCCTGGAACATGAGATTTAGTGGGACTTGGGGGGTTTCTTCAGTTTCTTTCATATGTTTGCTTGTCTTAATTAAAATTACTGCTTGGAGCTAGGCACCGTGCGTGGCACATGCCCGTAATTACAGCTTCTTTAGAGGCTGAGACACGAGGATTGTGAGTTCAAAGCTGGCCTCAGCAACTTAGCAAACTCCTAGGCAACTCAGCGAGACCTTGTCTCTAAATAAAATATAGGGGCTTGGGATGTGGCTCAGTGGTGAAACACTCCTGGGTTCAATCCGCAGTACCAAAAAGAAAAAAATTAGAACTTGGTTTTCTTAATAGAAAGTATATTAAATGTGGAAACATTTTTTCCTCCTGATAATTTAGAATTCCTTCAGTATATTATGAACTGATAATCTTTTTTTCTTCCCCTTGGGTACCATGTAGAATTTTCTGAAAAAATTGGAACAATCTTTTATGTGTGTTTGCTGCCAGGAGCTAGTTTACCAGCCTGTGACAACTGAGTGCTTCCACAATGTCTGTAAAGTAAGTAGAATTCCCCTCTCACTTTACCTTGATAGGGCTGAAAGAACACTAAACTGTATACCTGCTTTAGCACATGAAGAAGCATTTTTTCATGAAGGAGAATAGGAACGTTACCTGTTAACTAAGAAGCATTTAATTACGTCTTTGTAGTAATTTAAGGTAATAATAATTTTAATATATTAACATATATTATTTGAAATAAAATAATTCTAATATAATATAAATAATATACAAATATATTTTAATAATACAATACTAATATATTATTTGAGGTATTCTACTATTTTTGGAATTATTGAAGAGGGATTGAAATGGAAAAGAAACTAAGTATCATTGCTCCTTTCTATGTAATAGCTTATATATGTTTTATATATTATAGTGCAAACTAAAATTATTTCATGCACTTAATTTTTAAAAATCTAAAATAGTTTCACATACACAATACTAAAATCTAAAAAGCATCCTGTTTCTGTAGGATGTTCAAATGAATTGAGTATTGTGTTATCAGTGTGGTATAAAAGGAAAATTTTAGTTTTAGTCAAGCCAAAGTTGTAATCTTATTTACTGATTGATGGTTTTGTACCCTGACCTAATTTCAAAATTTTAGTTTCCTTTGTAAAATGGAAACAAACCTCCTTCAAATGTTATTGTGCCCGACCTTGTGTTAATTCTCTATTTTTAGTACGGCTAAATATATTTTTGGAAGATCCTTTATATGTAAAGCAACTTGATGAAATATGTAATTTAGTTTTAAGCAAGAGAATTCAAAAAAAAATTTTTTTTCCTTCTTTAGGGCTCTCTCAGAAAAAAACAAGACTAAAATCCAACATAAAATATTAGACTAATGGAACCATACATACTCTCTAACACCATTGTTTTACTGAATACAGAAATTGAAACACAGAATAGTTAAATCATTTACCTAAAATCTCACAATATGTGTCAGGTGGAACTAAAGTCATGACTATAGTGCAGATTCAGGCCTTGATGGCTGTTTGTATATTTCTCTTGTTAACAAAAATTAAACTTCAGATTTCTGTTTAAAAGCCTAAGATGGTGAGTTCATACTTGACCCTCTGATGGAATTGTGTGTGTATGTGTGTGGTTCTTTTTTGTTTTTACCTTAGGATTGCTTACAGCGTTCTTTTAAAGCTCAAGTTTTCTCCTGCCCTGCTTGTCGGCATGATCTTGGCCAGAATTACATCATGATTCCCAATGAGATTCTTCAGACTCTACTTGACCTTTTCTTCCCTGGATACAGCAAAGGACGATGATCTTCCTACTTCTGTGTTATTCCTGGTAGCTTCTTGGACAATAAAGAATCTAAAATGGTTGGGGAGGGTGGAAGCAGTGGTGGACCATTTCTCTCAAGTTCTGAAGCAGCTATTCCTCTTTCCTACATAGCCATCATCTTGTGTGTAGTAAGAGGCCCATTTCTCAACTGTCTTTTAAATATCAAAAAGGTAGTTCCTGTCAGTAACAACTAGTTTAATGAGTTAAAAAGTCAAAGCTTCAGCTCTAGTTGATATCCAAGTTATGATTTATTTTGCAACTACCTCAGGACAGAAAAGATTTATGGGGATTTTAAAAATCATTAGTTAAATGAGATTTTAGCTACACACTGCCTCCCAAATATTAGTTGTGCCTGGTTATTGTAATTTGATTTTACAGAAAAGGAGATGACACTTGAGATTCTTGGAATGAACGCAGCTTCTGTATTATGCATACTACTTTTTTTAAAATGTCTTTTCCTCCATTACAAGTGTGTGTTTTGCAAAGAAAGTTCATTTTTTAGCCCATTTTGTGAGCTCCATTGTGCTTTTTTTCCTGGTGTTTTATGCAAGTTGACTACTAATGACTAATGAGAACAATATGAATGCATTGTTGCTGCATTAAGTGTAATGTGGTGTGGTTTTGCAATTAAAAGAGGTATTCTGATGTTCTAGTTGTAAATGTTCATAAAAAGCCACTTCTGTACTAGTCAAACTGCTTTTAGTGAGTCTCACCAGTGTTTTTACATCTGCAGAGTATTGAGGGCTGCGCTAACTTTTGAGAGGTTTGAAATCGCTTCATATTGTGATCCTAAATTTTATATTCACTATATTCCTTTAAAGTATACCTTAATAAATATTTTATGATCAGAAAACGTTCATTTTGCTTTACTTTTCTACATTTTTCTGGCTTATATTAGGGTTTTTAAGGATCAATTATTTCCAGAGATTTTTGTTAGATGTCTTTATTGAGACAGACTTCTTTTTTTAAAAAACTCTGAATTTGATAATGAGAACTAGAATGAAGTCTTAAGCACTAAGGACAAATTTCATCCTCACCGATTTTTTTTATTCTTACTAAAAATGGGAAATTTTTCAAAATAAGAACACAGTGACTATTCTTTGATCTGTAACTCCTATCTTTTATTTACCTCTAATATAATGAGTGCTTATTTCAGACATGAATATTTTAAAACATTGTACTATTTGTTATACTGTTGTATTTTCATCAGAGAAAATTTTAGATGCAATCGAGTAAGTTTTCTCACCCCTAGAGTCATAGATACATATATCTATAAATAGACATAGTTATAGATAGATAGGTAACCAACATTTATTGAATATTTAATCTCTGCTAGTTACTTGTACATTTTTTTTAAAGGATTATTTATTTATTTTTTTTTTAAAGAGAGAGTGAGAGAGGAGAGAGAGAGAATTTTTTTTTTTAAATTCTCGGCGGACACAACATCTTTGTTGGTATGCGGTGCTGAGGATCGAACCCAGGCCGCACGCATGCCAGGCGAGCGCTCTACCGCTTGAGCCACATCCCCAGCCCCATTACTTGTACATTTTTATGTGTATTTGTTTGACCCTACAAAACAACTCTAAGAGGCAGGTATTATACCCATTTTTGGATGAAACTCAGTGGCATGGTAAAATTAAATAACTTGCCAAAGGTTATAATTTACCAAATAAGTGGCAGAACTGTGCTGTAAGCTTAGGCAGCCTGGTGATCTTTACCTTCCACTACATAGGCTCTCACCCTTGAATATATAACATACGAGTTTCATTGCTTTCCTGCATTCAATTAAATTCAAAACTGGGTTCTGAGAAACACTTATAGCATAGTGATTAGGAGATGACAATGATTCCAACATTGGTAAGTTATCCCCAAATTTGTGAAGAATCAAGTTTAATTAGAGTCTTCTTAGATTAAAAGTTATTCATTAAGTTGTGTTATCAGTGGTGCATTCATATTAAATGAAGGGTGGGAAATATCCCCAAGTTTCAGCTGTTTAAACTAGTTTAGGCTGATGCTTTTGTTAGCAAAATAACTAAATCTCATAGTTACATGTTTTCTTAATTGTGCTATTATAACATGACAGAATAGGAAAAAAGGCTGCTTATAGCTTAACACATTTGTAAGTACCAAGAATGGCCCAAAGGTAAGATGTATGTGTGAGAGAGAGCTTTTTAATTTTTTCTTTTTACATAAATACTGTAGTTTGTGCTTAGGGACTTTTAAGAAGAAAAACCACAATACTATTGTCACACATTTTTTTTATATTTATTTTTTAGTTTTTGGTGGACATAACATCTTTATTTTATTTGTATGTGGTGCTGAGGATCGAACCCAGCACCCCGCGCATGCCAGGCAAGCCCGCTACTGCTTGAGCCACATCCTCAGCCCCATATTGTCACACGTTTTTAAAAAATAAACTAATTTCTTTACATCATCCAGTATCTAGTAAATGTTCCAATTTCCTTTGTCCCGAGTGTTGGGTATTTTATTTTTAGTTGGTTTGTCTGAATTAGGGATCCAAATAAAGACCTCACATTGTGATTGCTGTCACTTACGTATTTTTAAATCTATATATGTCCCCTTAATATTTATCCTCTTAAATCTTCTTTTTTCTCTCTTTATTTACCATTTATACTTTGCATGTTGAAATTGAGTTGGTTCTGAAATGCTTCTGAACAAATAAATTTAGGTGAGGTAGCCTTTTGGTGTAGCTTAAATGTTTATTTTCTGTGAATTGGTAGTAGAATTAAATCATGATCTGATTTGGATTTGACTTTGGGGAGGGGGTAAACTTTATAGGTTGTATGGTTGTCCTTCAGGAGATATAATATCTGAGGGTCTGTAAGGCTTAAGTTTGAAAGATGAGCTTTAAAAATAATCTGGAATTTAATACACTTAGTTTATCAGACATACACGCGCGCGCACACACATACACATACACACACACTCCCACACACTCGAAAGTTTAGCTAAAAGAAAGGGCCTTACCTCTTTACTTATGGCTCTGGATTTCACTATATAGCTTGCTTTACAAGAACTGGGTAAAGTTCTGTTCTGCCTTGCTCATTGCCTGCTATTTTCTCATTAAGGATCAAACCTTTCCCCAGAATTAAGCTTAATGGTCCATTTACCCCTAACATACATTGAAAGAGTTACTCTTGCTTGCCCACTGAATTCTTGATCCCCACAACTGGACTTTAAGAATGCCTGAATGGACCTGATATCTAGTAACCTGGTTTAGTATGATCCTATATTGGGAGAGTGGGGGTGGGGAGATTAACCAAAACAACTTAAATACCAGTCACTGGATATAAGAAATTGAAAACTACTCAGAAGGACCAAGCAGACAGATGACTGCCATTGAAAAACTGAATGAAAGAAGAGGGCTGGAGATGTAGCCCCGTGGTAAGAACACTTGTCTTGCATGTGTGAGGTTCTGGGTTCAATCCCCAGCACCAATGGGGAAAAGAAGAAAAAAAAAAAGTTTTACAACTATATCCTAAAGTATGAAGTTGTATTAATAGAGTAAAAACAAGCTATGTGAAGAGTAATTTGAGAATAAGATTCTCTGAACTAAACATGATTGTATAAATAAATGCAACAGACAAAACAGAATGGATACTGCCAAAACTTGAATGTATTGCCAAGTAATTTGTTGCTTATGGATATGCCACAGTTTATCTGTTCATCTACTGATTGATATTTGGGTTGTTTCCAGGAGTTTGCTATTATGAATAAAGCTGCTATGAACCATCGTATGTAAGTCCTTGGAAAATAGTTCGACAGTTTCTCTAAAAATTAAATATGCACTTACCATACAACTCATCCATTTCACTAATAGTTATTTACTCAGAAAAATAAAGACATATGTTCAAAGTGATTTATGCCATTGTATATTCATGCCAGCAGTGTTTGAGAATTCTGGTTGCCTCATTCTTGGTTTTATCATTTCTTGTAATTTTTATTTTTTATTGGTTGTTCAAAACCTTACAAAGCTCTTGACATATCATATTTCATACATTAGCTTCAAGTGAGTTATGAACTCCCATTTTTACCCCAAATACAGATTGCAGAATCACATCRGTTAYACATCCACATTTTTACATAATGCCATACTAGTAACTGTTGTATTCTGCTACCTTTCCTATCCTCTACTATCCCCCCCCATCTTCTCTCTCTACCCCATCTACTGTAATTCATTTCTCTCCTTGTTTATTTTCCCATTCCCCTCACAACCTCTTATATGTAATTTTGTATATCTTGTAATTTTTAATCATTCTAGAGAGAATGTAGAGAGAGCAAGAGATGAGTGAATTAAATATTGGTGACAGTAGTGGATTGTGGTAGTTATCTGTTCAAGTATTTTTGAAATGTTGTTCAAATATTTCTGGATCTGAAGCATACATGATAGGATTATACTTCCTAGTCTTCTTGTGTTTGGGTAGGGCCATGTGACCGGCTGGCAAATATTATAGTTTGGATCTTTTTTTTTAAAGAATATTTTAGTATGTTCAATAGTAACATGCCCCTTAAAGTTTGTATGAAGTTACTCTGAAAACCACATTCGTGACAAGTTTTTACATTTGTCAAAGGTAATTTTGCTTAAGAGGCTGTTGTTGTTATACTTACTTGGTTTTATTAATTTGCATGCATGCTTATTTACCATATGGCTAAGCAGGTCTTCTGGATCATTTATTTTATGTTGATACAAATACTGTTCATTACAACTGTAATGCAAATGTAGAGTTCGCTCACACCAATAGAGGTGAACGCTAAAGTGGGCTTCTGCAATGTGCTAAGGTTCTCAAAAATTACTGTCCTATAATTACAGTTTATAAATGTAGGGATCTTCTTCATGTAGTTTTGCATGTTTAATCAGAGGCATGTTCGTACAGAAGCTTTCCTTGTATACTCAGCACACATTTGAATCAGTATGTTTGTGCTGCAGCTCATATGCTTTTATAAATCAGAAAAAAAAAATGTTTACTATTGAATTCACAAAGTTCACCTTTATAGAGGCCACTGCTATAAGATCAGTAAAGGCCATTTCTGCTGGGCAGTCACATTCAGAGCTTGTCTCGTGTCAAGAATTTTACAAAGTTTAGTGATTTTTTTATCAGTTTGTTCTTGGAGATTCTCGGGGGAATTGTCTTCTGTCAGTATGTCATCATCTTCAGCAATGTGAACTTTTGTAGGACTCTCCTCTTGAGTTTGCTGGTTGATTGATTTGGATGAGTCACACTCTTCATCACAAATTTCTACATTATATTTTTTGCCTCACTCCATATCTGCTCTGCATACCTCCTAGTGTGGATCTTGAATCCACTCCAAGGTCTATATGTTGAAGTCTTGGCCCCAGTCCATAGGAGGTGATGGAACCTTTGGAAAGTGGTTCTAAGAGAAGGAAGTTGAGGTCACTAGAGGCATGCTGTTGAAGGAGATATTGGGATGCTTTTTTCCTTTCTGCCCACTATGAGAGGAATAGCCCTCTTCTGCCGCACACTCCTACCATGATGTACTGTGCTACTCAGGCCCAAAGCAACAGGGCCAAGTGGCTATGAACTGAAAGCTCTGAAATTATGATCCAAAATAAACCTTTTTCATTATTAGTCACTTGATGGTCTCAGATATTTTGTCACAGTAACAGAAATCTAACATGGAAAATTGGCACCAAGAATGGGATTATTACTGTGACTATTCCTGATGATATAGTTTAGAAGCTTTTGGCATTAGTTTGTGGAAGAGTATGGAAAAGTTTGGAGAAGTGAGCTAGAGGAAGCCTAGAATGCAGTAAAAGGAGCTTAATAGGTGATTATAATAAGGACTTAAAAAAAACAGAATGCTGATACAAAT